GAAACGTCTACCGATGCAACCGTTGCAAGGTTGAAAATGCCCTTTTTAAGCCACCATGAATAACCTCACCAATAAAGTCAAGCTAATGATTATAAACAAATACCTATTGGGAAACAATCTAATTCTCTTCCCTTTTATTTACTATACTTTTGAGATAGTAGGTAGTTCATTTATTAAGTGGTTAGGCATCTTCATCCCTATATACACATTCTTGAGGTTGCAGTGCATGATTTAGAATATTATTGTCACGACACTTGCACCATATTAGCACAAAAGCAATTTTCAGTCAATGGTCACAACTTGCGGTTGTAACTGAAATACGAGGTTCACTAACTAAGTTTGACCTTACGTACGAAATTATACAATTAACAAGCAAAAAGCCACTTTTAATTGTTTCTAGATAGTTAAACAAACAGTCCAATTATTCTAAATTGAATTGTCGCAGTTTGTAATAAGAAAGCAACAAATAACACCAATATTGATGACGGAGAAACCCAACTGGGTAAAAACTCCGGACCAAGTCAGTTACCTCCATTAGAGACAATACGGATTTACAATACGATGCTGTCTAGCCAACTTCACTAGATTTCCCGATCTAATTCCTGTAAACTTCAAGATCGCTGAACCCACCAGCTCTTGATCTTCTGCAATTGTCTCTTCCAAGTGGAATTCCAAGAACTCCATGTTCTTGTGCTTTTCCTGCGCTTGTAGTCTAACCTCTCTTAACCTCTAGCAGCCTCTGAAGTTCAACTGAAAAATTACATTTCTAAGGGTGTTTAAGAAGTAGGTGTTTTGGATTTAATGGATTCAATTTTTCTCCCCAAATCTGTGGTTGTATCAATACATGAACAAGCTCATCTTCAAAGAATAATATGGAAGTGTTATAGAAAAGAGGCACAATGAACAAGCACACCACAATGCGTACATAGGCTGGGTATTTATAAGAGAGGGTAATTAGGTTGAATGAGCAGGAAAAAATACTTCAAAACAGTAAATTAGGGTTTTTTGGATCAACCTGTCGCTCGAGTGAGAAGTAGCGACATGCGAGCGACGCACTATCGCTCAAGCGAGAGTTCCGCGACAAGCTGGCAATGATGTTTTTGTTTTAGTCGCTTGAGTGCCAACTGGGCGAGAAGCTAGCGAAAATGTGGCGCTGTGTTTCTCCTCTTTTCATGCTCAAACCCTAGACCTCATAACCCAACTTGTTCAAATTGCACCATAGGTCCTTGACTTTTACAACACATTACAAATTAGTCTTTTTGTCCACAGAATCCCCAACACTAAAAACCTTACAGTAACCTTTGGCCAGTAACTATTTGCAGCCATAACATGCTCACTCATATTGTTTTCATCCTCCCATCGTCACTAGACTTTCTTGTTGGTTGTGAAGCTTAATTTGAATTGTTCCATATTATATTCCTAATAAATGAATTTTAATCATTTTGTAGGAGCATGACACCTACACACATAAACCTCCAATGGACAAAGGAAATGACACAGATTCATGTACCATCCAGTTTCAGCATTTTGTTCCAAATCAGCATCCACTATCAGACACGAATTTGGGATTACATAATTCCCTTCTTTGTCCTTTTACTTTGCTTAATTGATGATGTTTTGAGACAATGAGAACAATGTTTGATTTAAGTTTGGAGGTGGAAAAAAAATGAATTTTTATTTTTGTATTTGTCTTATTGTTTTGATTTTATTACTTTATTATACATGAAGGCCGAAAAAATTGAATATTTTTCAAAGATATTTTTTCTTTTTAGTTTGAGTGCTTGTGTGGGATAAATTGTCTTGCTAGTTGTGATGTATATATTTGGAACTATGCGTTTATGAATTATGAGTATTTTACATGCTTGGATTAGTTGATGCACATCCCTATGGAATTTGAAATTCATTGCACACGTGATTTAAGTTTTGCATTGTGAATGACTGAGTTGATTCATGCCATGAATAGATTGAAATAATCGAACTTAGTTGCTAAACCTGAATGGCATTATATCATACATCCTTAAACTAATTTGAGCATAGTTTGGAGTGACTGAATTATTGTAGGAAGATATTGAGATGAATGATGATTCTATGTATGAAAATTCTTGTTTTGATTATCTTGGGCCATTTAGATGAAAATTAGGTGTGACTCTTAAGTTAGAGGCTAATTTTTTTAAAAATGAGTGTTTAATTAGGGGTATTGTACTAATAATCATTGCGTCAAAAAAGGAAAAAAAAAATACCATGATTCGTGAGTGAAAGCTATCATATAAAAGATCACAATGAGGACACTTATTGAACATCCAAAAAAGAACACTCAAAAGGAGATCAAGCTAGTGCATGCAACAGAATACGCAGAGTGAATATTAAAATGCAAGGGCATGAAAAAAAAAAGCACTACATGCATGATTAAGTCCCAAACGCTTAATTGAAAGGATTCACCTTTTTGCAAGGGATTATTAGAATAGTTGAGTTTTAGAGGTTGAAACAATAAAAATAAATAAAATAGGAGAATAATTATTTGTTGAAGTATTGACTTACAATTAGTGTGATCTATCCAAACAAGAGAGGGTAAGGACTTATACATGAATTCAACCTTAGATTACACCCCGAAGGAGAGTTAAAAGAACAAGTTTGGGGATGTATATCTCACGAGTAGAGAAGTGATAAAATTGACCATTGAGGGTCAGAAATTGAAGTAACTTGTGAATTTATAATGTTTTACTTAATTATTCAAATGCACATAAGTTTTACTCAGGATAAGTAGAAATTGGTTTTATATTGTGATTTTGAAACTATTCATAAATTTGGCATAAGGATTCCAATCTTGAGACAAAGTTGTTGCATGCTTGCTTATTGAAATAAGTCATAGTTTTGTTTTATGACAAACAAATGTTCAACATTGCAGGTGTTTGATATGTACATTTTATACACTTATTTAGGTAATTAAATACGGATATTTGAGAGTACTTTTATGAATTGTAGCTTAAGCTCTTGTATGTATTATTTTGTAAGGTAAAACTCAATGATTGCAAGTAGAATTGGAATTGGAAAAAAAAAAAGGAACGAAAATGATGGACAATGAAGATTTTTAAAGTTCGATGACTAAAATGAAAATATCCAAAACTTGATTTGAACCAAACAATAATGATTGAAGAATTCATTGAATCATATGGATGGAATTGGAAGATAAAGGATGATAATTGCACGTGAAAATGATTCAAGATGAAAAAAGAAGAAAACTTGAGGACCAGTTTACATCAAAACAAAAGTCCAATAGCTGCGATCGTAGCCATAATATTGTATGATTGCACAACTCAATTATGAAGATGCAAAACGCAATAGTCCAAGCTATTGAGACTACAAGCCTTTATCCCATGCGATTGTATAGTTTAAATTTCTCCAAAAGAGACATTTTCCTTCTATGATGCAAACTCCTTTTACAAACAAATTTTGATGCTTTTCTTACCTAATTCTAACCTCTCTAAGTACTGAGTACAGAACATGAGCAACCATTGAAGAATCTCACATTTTGCTCTCATATACATCATAACTCAAAAATCATTCAACTAGGAGAAACCAAATAATTGAAGGACAATAATAAACCCAGCAAGAAATCCAAGATAAATAACATCAAGAATTGAAAATCCAAGGCTCAGGATTAAAGATTAAGAACAATAAATTGATTTTACACATTTCTTGTATTCATACACTTTCAGGGGTGATGTATTTTCATTATATTATTAGAAACATGTTAGGCTAGATTTTTCTTGTGTTGGATGAAAATAAAATCTTTTGTGGATTAATTTTAATTCAAAGATCAAGTAATTTAGTTAATTTTTATTCTTGATTGTTCTTGTATACTTTGTTGAATTATTTAAATATTGCACACCATTTAGGTAATTAATTACTTAATATGTTTTCAGGAGGTTTATGATAGGTTTAGAACTTTGTAATTTCAACGTGTGGACAATAGATGTTAGGGATAATGTGTACGGCCTATGCAAATATATAGATAATTTTGAGACTCAATGTATTACTTTTCATATGAACCGGTAATAGAAATATGACCGGATTGTGCTTGAAATAGGTTTAACTTACCTTGAGAGAGAATGATATAAAATTAGATTATCGATTGTCATGAATGCGTAAATCGCACTATATTACATAGGTCTAGAATTGGAAATAATATAACATAGTTGGGTTCAGAATTTTAACACGTACATCTCATATTTAATTCAGCATAATCTTAGATAATTTAATTCAACACCTACCCCCAATCAACCACCAATACTTGGTCATAAATCGATCAATATGTTGGTCACAAACACTCTTCGTCGTATCCCTATAGTCGCCGCCATCGCCAAACAACAACCACCACCCAAACCACCACAAATCTGGCCAAACTACCAACAATAGATCCACCAACACACAGCCACACACCAACAACAGCCAACAACTATACACACATATTCGTCACCAACAAAAGCCAGACACACATCAGCCACCAACAACAGCCACTCACACAGATCCAACCGACACCTACAGATCTGCCGCCTCTCCGATTTCCTCAACTCCGATCTGCCACACACCGACGGCAGCATCGCGACATTGTGAACGGCGATAGCCTCGCTACGCTGAACTGTAATAGCATCTCGACGCTGATGCCATTCAAAGCAGTGTCGTCGGGACACTGCAGAGAGAGACGAGGAAGAGAAGGGAAAGGGAGGAAGAGAGGGGGAGGAAAGTAAGTGGAGGCACTGTCGTGAGTAAAAGAATGGGGAAGAAGAGGGAGGCGCGAGAGAGAGGGGAAGGGAGTAGAGAGATAAATTAGGTTATCAATTATGGTTTTAATATAGTACCTAATTTTTGAATAAATAAACTTTAGACCTGAATTTTAAAAACTAATATTTAAACACCTGGTTTTATGTAATTACCACTTTGTTTTAGGCTGGGAGAGTTGGGCCTTTGTTTTAAATATTAGGCCCAATAATCTGCCATCCATGGTCCATAATACCCGGCAGATGGTTTGTAAGCAATTACCAAACGTGAAATGTCCAAACCTTTCATCGCTTCGATTAGTTATCCACTTCTTCTCCCTGCTCTGCTGCCTGCTATCTGCGAACTACCTAGATGTGAGACGGCCAGACCTGCCATCAGTTGCTGCTACTGCTTGCTGCCGAGTCGCCGATAGGCTGTAAGCCTGTAACTTGTAAGTATCTACCACTTACACCTTTCTGTTTATGTTTCTATTTTTTTTCTACCAAGTTGCTCTGTTTTTATTTTGCTAATTTGCTTTTCTTGATTGAATTAAAAACACACTCACATAGTCATAGACACATGAAGGCTATTGAATCTTATTGATCATCAATGCAAATCTGAGCTTCATTTTGACTATTTGCTAGTATGGAAAAAGGGAAAAAAAGATTGGGTCTTTTTTAGATCAGTTTTGGTGTTCAAATCATGGAAGCTAATGAGATTAATCACTGTTATCTACCCTTTTCTTTTGTTTTATTTTTCATAAATTCCAGCTTTTGAGTGGAAAAGCCAATTTTTGTTTTTTCTTTTACGACTGATGAGTGAAATTAACTCATTAAACAAGTTCCTTTAAATCATAGTTTTTAGTTTGTTCTTGAGCACTTTTGAGCGTTTTGATGCGTGTGTTCGTGTGGTTTTATAGTTNAGCGTTTTGATGCGTGTGTTCGTGTGGTTTTATAGTTAGACAATTTGGATGAAAACAGGGTAATTTGGCTATGAAAAATATTGGTCCCAATCCTCAATCCCGTCTCCAAATTCTTGTAATAAACTAGACTCAGAAGCCATTGGACTTGCCTTGATTGACTCAATCAATGATGAGAAAAATGAAGGAAATTTTTCAAAGCCAATTAGCAGAATGGTTTTGTTTGGATCAAAACTTAAGTTCAAATTCCAAACCTTGTTCCCTCTTCGATTTCCCCGGTCGAATCACCCAAATATCCAGCTGATTTTGGAATTAAGACTAGGGATTCTCAGTTATCGAGTCCTTTTTCTAGCATCCCAGCAAAGGATTCCCCTCAGAGTTTTACTAGGCAACTATCTTTGAAGGAAATGGAACTTTCTGAGGACTATACTTGTGTAATCACTCACGGGCGTAATCCAAAAACACATATTTGATAACTGCATTGTTACAAGATGCTGTGGGGATCCTTTTTTATCTATAACATAAGGGAATTTGATTTTGAAGCTAATTATTCAGTTTCTCCTTCTGTGGATTTTCTCAATTCTTGTCATACGATCAATGGTCAATGGTCAACAATCAAAGTCGGCCGCCTATGCTGAACTTTGATGCTGGGTCCGCCACTGGGTTTGAGAACCAGAGTCTATCGAGAATGTATGTGCTGAATATGGTGTTCAAGGTTATGCTTTGCATTGCATTGTTGTAGAGTATAATGCTAAACGCTGCTGGAAACATTTGGAAGATTTGACTAAGATATGTTGGACCATGTTGGTAATCTTTTCAAAAGTTATTAGATTATTGTAACATTTCTGATGTAATTATATATCATTACTTTTGAGTTAGTGACTGTATCGCTCACAAGATAAAATAGCCCATTTCTCTTAGGCCATTTCATTGCAACTAAAGAATCTTTTATAACTTCCAGTATATTGTTATTAGATTTAAAGATATGTCCTTCATCTTCAAGAATCCCCAAAAAGATGAGATTTTTTTAAGATTAAGCACATATCTGATATTCATTATCTAACAATACCATTATGCATTTTAATGGCAATGTTATCATGCCAACTACAGTTTGTGAGTTATTATCTTCCATAGGTTCTATTTCCTTTTAGTTATAAAACTAGGAACTAATAGGACACCTAGAAAATATACCTTGAGTATACTATCCAGTCGTTTTTAATTTTTTCACTAGACACATTCATTACATACAGGCTATCTAATTCAAAGCCTACTGCAATATTATTTAGTTCTCCATTGTTCTCTTCCGTTTGCTTTTTCTTCCATTCATAACAATCTCTTTTAACCACAGCCGTAACATTTTTTTATTGCTTTTATCTTTAGATTTAGATCTCCCTTTTAACTTCACTTTTCCCTTTTTATTTTGGAAATTCTCTATTTTGTGTGCCCCCACCTCACAAACATGCTTTCTTGTTTTGTGTTACTTTTAGACTCCTTTTTAACCTCTAATTTTCTAGACCTTAAAGCATCTATCAAAATGGCTTGAGTCAGGTTATCCCTAGAATATTTTATTGCATTTCTAACATCTCTATAGGAATTTGGTAAAGAATTTAATAAAATGATAACTAGATCTTCACCATCAAATTTATTAGCATTGTAAGTTAAATTCTTAACAATGATACTAAGGGTGTGTTCGATTGAAAAATCGTCCATGGAAAATGGCCTTTTTCTACCCGAATTCCAACTTTTGGAGTGTTTGATTACTATTTTTTCCATGAAAAATATTTTTCAACCTTTGAAAATATGCCTAGTTTTGCTTATTTTTGAGGAAAACATTTTTTTTTTGGAAGGAGGTCACGTGCAATTCTAATAATGAAAAATAATTGGCGAAAAATTCACAAAGAATTTAAGACAAATAATTAAAAAGAAATTCCTAGGTCTAGCAATAGGCAATGATTACCCCTTCACGATAACCCAAACCCCCGCACGATGACTTCTAATGTGAAAAATAAATGACTATACTACACAATAGTTATACAACAATAACAAAAAAAGTAAAGAGCACGATATCAAGCAGACCACGTCGACGATCCGTAAATATCGAGAGGTGCGAATTTGTCATATTAGAACCACGACCATTTGTCCTAAAATTTCCAATAATTGCAGGAATCAATCAAATATGATCGAATCCCGAACATGCGAAGAACATAATCGTCCAGACTTCGCTATATAACTTGAAATAGAAAGCTAACAACACCAAAATGTCAAGAAAAATGTCAAGAACAAATTGCCTGAAGACACCGTCGACGGAGAACCCTTCACATGCCCTCACACTCTCTGCGCGTCATCTGTACGTGCCTCAGCCACGAGCCGCTGCCAGTGACACTTACTTGACCACTGGGACAGACTCCATTTGCACATCATGCCGTGGTCTCCGTTTCACCATTAGGTCTCTGGATTGGCCTAAAATCACGAAAACGTGTTCGATTTTTAGACAGTTTTCTAACAGTTTTTCGATCTATTTTTTTGCTTTGTTTCAACCGGTTTTCAGGTTAGTTTTTGGTCAGTTTTTTAGCCAAATCCACTACCTTGAAGCTTTGATACCAATTGTCGCGGAAGCTTGCTCCAAGAGTCATCAAAACGGTGTTTTTCGGGCTCAGTTTCACATTACCTTTCTCTACCAAACAATCAATCCAAACGGCTCCAACCCTCAATCAATATATTCACCTCGGTTGCTTCTTAATCTCACCCACAAAGGACAAGATAATGTGATGATTTGAAGCCACAAAAGTAAGGGAAAAACAATGGAAGAAATACGAGATGGAGGCCAAAACACCAAGAAAGCCACAAGTTTTTTCTCCTTCTAACACACAAACCACACACAAAATGGCTAGGGCAAAGACACCGTATATATAGGCTAGGTTAGGCTTTAGTTTGGCCAATAAAAGAGGTTAAATAGGTTAAGATTCAAAGTCATCCAAGAGGTAATATATAGGGCCATGAGCAATATTAATTGTTTAAGTTACTTCCAACGGCCCATGTTGTTTTTGGGTTGAGCCTCTGGACTTGATTGTCGGTAATAATTTAATCCAACGTTTACATCGCTCGGGATTCATTGGGTATCAAAACCCAATAGTATAAAATTGCAACTTCGAATTTACTTTTAGCTTCAGACGAGGTGGTAGTTTAACATAGAATTTTCCTTTGCAGGACAAGTCACATTAATCAAGTTATTAAATGTTCTAGTATATGAGGAAGGCCTATAATTGGATTCAACATAAACTAGGAATGCTCCTCTACTGTAACTGGACCTTTTGTAGAAATGTTTTTGGCTATCAAAGGGCTATAGTTGGATTTCTCCATTTTGGATTTCCGAATTGAAGTGGTGCCCGTATGTTACTATTGCCAGGTTTCAATGATGTGCCAATTTGATTCAATTTCAAATAGTATTAAACTGGCTCAAATGCAATAATTTGGGAATGAAATTGGCTAAAATGCAATGATTCAAACGTTAAATGAATGGATTTAAATATTGAGACTCTTTTATCCAAGACATTATCTCAGAGGAGTATAAGGTCCATTAATATACCATATGTTTGGGAGGTTTCCATGGCTATATGGTTATATACTAGTAATTTGCTTAGTTGTTTCAGAAGTTTGAAATGGAGCTTCATTTATTTCAGACAGCGGCAGACGGACAACTCCCAGCAAAAATTTAAAATTTTCTGAAATTATATAGAAATTTTGAATTTCTTTTTAATACATACACATACGTAGTTTGTCCCCCAAACATTTTTCCGTCCCCGTATGTGAAAATCCTAGCTCCGCGCGGCTGATTTCAGATTTATAAATTTCAGACTGAAAGGCTATCTTTCAAACACGATCATTTTCTTTTCCATTTATTAATCGAAGATGTACTTTTTCGTCTTCACTGATCAACTCACTATATTTTCAGGGCCATGCGATATCTACCCCTGCAATCAATGGGACAATTCTTCCTGGCATTACTCGGAGGAGTATAATTGACGTTGCTCGTAGTCAAGGATTCCAGATAGTAATTACTATCAGGAATGAGCTTCTGAAAACTTCAACTAGCAATGAGTGTTTTTATATATTGATATTTAGGTCCAAGAACGGTTAGTAACAGTGGATGAATTGCATGATGCTGAAGAAGTTTTTTGCACGGGAAGAGCTGTGGTTATATCCTCTGTTGGAAGCATAACTTATGTTGGTAAAAGGTAATTTCTATGATAAATAATTTGTACCTGGGAGAAATTGGCATGTAATGTAAATTGTCTAAACTTCAAATTTCTCATTATATTTTAAACTTGGAATATTAATAGATAATTTCTATAACAACGAGTCTTCCACCGTGCGTAGGGTAACTTATGGAAGTGATGGAGTTGGCGCGGTGTCACAGCAACTGTATTCCTCGCTTACCAGCTTACAAATGGGACTTGCTGAGGATAAATTGGATTGGATAGTTGAGCTGAAGTAGGTTCAATGCTCTACTCTCAAACAGTTTAGTTTCATAGTTTGTTACCTTAATTAGGAATATAGTAAACGCTAAACCTGTTACCTCATGATGAGTTTTCTATTTACCCTTTATCTGATAACTAATACGTATCGATTGTTAGTCATTGTACTCTTGTAATATATGTTGTTATGAATTTGTATGAATTTGAAAAGAAGGAGGTCATAATGAGGGGAGTGATTGAAGAATCGAGGAGTGGATGCGTGAACTAAAATCAGGCAAGTGAAAGTACAAAAAAATGGGAGGAAAAATTGCTAAGAGTGTCATGGTTGCGAAGCAGCAATGGCAGAAGCAGCACACGATAGGGACTTTGACGAGTTTGTGTGTGCAAGAAAGCGTTTTTTCAATCTCCATTTCTTACATCTGGTAGGGACTGATTTTTCTTTGGGTCTGTACTTTTAATCTCCATTTCTCTAATCTGTTATACATGTTTCAAATCCACGCAGTTCCACCATATTGTCGATTCTGATACAATTTTCAAGGTTGGATGGTTCCTTGAGTAAGGTGAACAATTTGAACTTGGTTTGATGTGTAATAGATCCGTTTCTTCATCGTTTCAGTTTCAATATTCAGCATTTATGGAGTTTCAATTTCACGAAGGTAACAGTAGTCATATCTTGATGGGAGCTTGGCCATATATAATGAGGTTTGGTCCCTAAGCTCAAACACCGAAAGACATGCATCATACACCATCATTTCGAAGTGTTGGAGAGTTTAGAAGTGCCTAACTTGGAGGAAACAAGAGCTTGTGAAACATTGCCAATGGCCGGAGCTTGTGGAACATACACCATCATTTCAAATGGGTTTTCTTTTCTCGATCAAGTTTTGTTTTGGATCGATTTTGAGTCTTACATTTTATATCAGGGCATGCCATATTCTCTGCCTTGGTATTTTACAATCAACTTGCAATACTCACTTTTTTATTTTTTTAAATCAAAGTTCAAATTTCTCGAGAAAATCAATTTTCTAGCCTTTGTGTATTTTTAAACTTGAGATTTGACATTGAGAAGGTTGAATTTGTAGCGGGTAAACCTGAATGGAGGTTGAAGATGACCACCTTTTTTTTTTTTTTTAATTTGTTGTCCATC